ATATAATATATAATATATATATAATATATATATATATGCAAGTGACTCGCACTTATTTTATTTCATAAGATGTGTGAGATTTCTGCTGTGTTTCTTTTCCCGCCTTTCGAACCTTAGCATATGATTTATCTCTCTCTTTTAGAGAGGCTTTCATTTTGTGCACGCATGTTTGGTTTGACATGCGCCAATTAAGGGCGCGGTGGGTGCAGCCACACCTCGTTGGAAAGTTGCCAGATCCATCCGGGATGGCTCGCGCTTCTAATTGCTACCTCCAGGGATAGGCGACATATCTTTGGGGCCTCCTAATACGCCGCAAAAGGGCATTACACATTTCTAAAGTTCAAGATAATGAGTGAGATTGCATTCTATTGAAATGATAAAAACCGCAGAGAACTTTATGACTTCATAAAATATGCCTTCCAAAATGCATCCTCATGAACGTAGAAAAACAATATATAATTCTGAAATTTGAACCAACTTTAACCTGACCTTTCTTTACGCCACCAGAAAAATGATTTGCTATCAGAGATCACCATTTTGCGTTTGTGGTGGGCGCAGAGGGAAAGCGAGGGGACAGATTGAGTTACCGAAAGTTGAAGGTGAAATACCAACCGAATGAAAGTTGAAGATACTTGGTTTTACTTATCATTATTAAGATATTACCAGAATCTCTCGTTAGTTATGAAAAAAAATTTCCTACACAGCTTCGGCGAAAAGGCGCTGCTTGGCTCCGTCCCCAGCGTCTTTTTTCGCCAAAGCTGTGTAAGTCTTTCGAGCAATTTTCCTGTTTTCCTTTCGCGTCCCCTGTGAGAAAATTTTCTGTAACTGCTATGAATACTGTCGATCCTATATTCGCTTTTTATATTTGCGACACCAAATAAATAGGAGTTCTAATCTTTGCAGTATATATTAGCAAGCACCCTATCAATCACTGACTCTAGTTTTAATTTATATAAGAAGGCAAAAAAAAATTTTTCAAAAGTAAAAATGGGGTCCGTGACTCCGAATGCATTAGCGTTAGCATACCTATGTTACTCTACATACCTCTCGTAGGGAATACGTAGGATTCCGCAAGCATGATTACTCCACAAGTCATTTTAGCAATTTTCAACCTTCTTGCATTTCAAGAAAATCAAGTTGTTTAAGCTAAGAGTTGGGAGGGAGAGGACTTCTATTTCAGACTTTATATGTTCTTTCGTTTCCTTAAGAATTGTTTGAGTTGGCAGCTCCTCATAAAAAATGAGATAGCTCTGTAAGAACTTCTGCGTGTTCGAATGCAGGAAGAGCAGCAGGCATAACGAAAAAAACATCGCAACTTGTTTGCAAGTGCTTTTAAGTGAAATATATAGAGTATTTTTGCGGAGCCCGGTTTTTATAATTCTAAAAACATATGAAGATTTGGCCATAAAAATCATATTACCTGCTGTCTCCAAACAGACTGATATTAAATGCATACTACATACCGCACGGCTAAGAAGTGAAACTTTAATACTGGTACGCACTGTTATTTAATTCAGATCACAAACTATGCTCTTAGCATTTTATTCGCTTGATTTAAACGATCTGGATTCTCAATTTTTAATGGCTTGACATTTCACATAAAAACAAGCAAAAAATATTCTCCTATCTACGAAACAACCTTACAAACAATCGAGAGGCAGCATTCAATAATTACTTTATCTCTCGTACTCTATAACAAGATCAACACTACACTTTATTACAACCTAAACTTTGAATGTAGCTAGGAAGTTCGTGACCACCTCCTTCAACTTAGCATCAGTCGCAGGTGTGATTTGTCCCTCAGTGTGGATGGTCTTCAGCAAATCTTGTTGAGTAGCGCGAATGTGAGCAAGGAATTCCTTCTCAAATCTGGTGATCACAGAAGGGTCAACTTTGTCAAGGTGTCCCTTAACTCCTGCGTAGATGACAGC